AAACTGATCAAAATAATTTTAGCTGGCAAATTTGCCCGCTGGACGGTTGGATACTTACTTTTTGAGTTTGTAGAAAATTGTAAACAGGGGCAAAGCGCCCACAAGTTATGGTCTTTGCAAGGATGAGTGTTTAGGTGGTTGACTAATAATTTAGTACGTCTATTCTTTGATTTTTAACCTTCCAGATGATGCAATCAGTTGGCATTTGTATCTTTTAATTATGCGGTAAGACCAGTTTTATTACATATAAATTATTTAACCTTACTATGTCTTCCTCCTTCACTGTGAATAAGTCACCACGTGTCCTATCGTATGTAGAACGTAAACGCCCAAATTATGCCGCCTAAAGAGACTATTATATGATAATTTAATAATGTGGACCTTACTATTAGTCCTGAGATACATACAGTAAGAAACATACCCAAATTATATATGACCGGATATATAAATTAGAGCGACAACAGTCATTGTCAGAAGCTCGATGGATAACCGCATCTGTGTTTTAACAGTATCACTACTGCTACCACTTCCACTGCTTCCACCTCCACTGCCACTGCTTCCACCGCCACCGCCACTGGTACTAGTACCACTTCCACCTCCACCTCCGCTGCCTACAGCACAGTAAGGAGCGTTGCAAACTTGGCCAGGGAGGCAGCAACCAGTACCACAACGTATATCGTTGGTAGTGCATGGAATGTTGCAATGTGGACTGTTAGGTATACATGTCGCAGCTGTAGGGCAACATACATTGCTATTTGGACACGGAACGTATGTTGTACCGGCGCAGTCACTAGCGTTTGCAAATAGAGATAGTCTAACATACTCTCTCGCTTCAAGATGTACGGTATTAGATCTACTTTGTAGCCGGGATAATGTCGCGGAAGCAGAGATTACTGCAGTGAGAGCGAGTAATAATGTTAGAAGTTTCATATTAGACGTCAAACAGGATTGATGTAATATTTAGGATGTAGAACGGAGTCACGACACGATTTTAAATAAAAATTGCATTATCAGGAATTTACCTGCCAGGTCGCACAACCAGACACGTCGTACAGCCCAAACTATTCCTATTTATAGGTGGGCATCTGAGCGTCCAATGAAAGGATAATATTCGAGCCTGTACGACCCGGCAGGTTGTGTGACCTGGCAGGTAAATTCCTGATTATGATAGAAGAAAATCTAGGCTGAGTTTGTGTCTGCATTGGTATCTACATTTAGGGTCGTACTCCCCCAAATTGTCGATGTCGTAATAAGCCTTGTGATCATTGTGTGTGTGAGCTGATACTGGAATCCGACTGAAGCTGAAACCATGATCTTGGCATCAGCCGGACACTTTTTTAATACTAAATAAAGAGTCTGCTAAAACACGTGATTAAATTTAATAATACAGTACTTAAAGCATACGACTTGACAGATATTATAACTACATATGATAAGATACTTATTATCTAACAGATGGCGAATGAAACAATTAGCTGTATCAATCGCGTCTTGATTCATTGTTTATGTGAACGCAGATATTTGGTCGATAAAAATAGGTACTTAACGCCTATGCATGCTTTTTTTTTAGCTGCAGATATAATTTTAGACGGCGCAACAATTACGTGTACTTCAACATTGTTCTATGGACAAACAAAGCAGAGCAAAAATTGTAATCCGGAATTTTTGTCTTAAAAAGGTTTCTTGCATATTACCATTTTTTTATTGTACAGCGTATTCAAAAATAAACCCCCAGCGATTTTTAATGGGAGATGCAGCGGCACAAACCAAGAAACTTTTGCTCTGAAAGAATAATGTTAGAAGTAATTGAATATAAAAAGGATTGATTAAACTTATTTATGTAGAAAATCTATAACATCTTACCCCAACTTCATATTTCAGAAAAAAGATAGAGTTATAACATAATTTGAACTGAGCATTGTGGAATAGTTTGGACTATAAATATGATAATGCAAATTATATACAAGAAATATAATTAAAGTAACTTAATAATTTCTAACAATAGTACACGCAAAAATACCGCTCAAAGCAATAACACTTTAACTGAAAGTTTGAGTGTAATGACGTATACGCATTTATGAAAACTTTTGCAGTCAAACCTCGTTTGTACGATTTTTTTTGTGGTGCCAAAAATTTATTGGGAAAGTGGGACATCGGTAGACCGGTTCTTCAATTTTGTCTTCTTTGAAGAAAGACATTATTATTTCACATATATTTATAGCTTCAATTTGCCGATGCTCATATATTGCCCTTGTTGACATTGATTTATCCAAACCTAGACTATGAACAGCAGTTTGTGTACTGAGCAAGTTGGTTTTTTTCTTCTATACATGAGTTATCTTTATAACCGTCTTTTGAGTTTGCATCTGAAAATTTGAAAGATTACCAATCAGCAAGCTGTTCCAAATTTAGTAATTACGAGTGAGCATGTTGTAAACGGCAAATTTTACTCGTTCATGAACATCGTTTGTGTTAATGTTGTCAATTCGAAGTGTTTCACTTTGTGACACTAAAATATTGCATCCCTTTCGGACTTGGAAAATATTTCGGTTAGCTGTACGTAAGAATTTCGAACATTCAAAGTATTAAGTTTAAAAATGTAGTGATTCAAAAAAAAAACTCTAATTTGGACATGAAGGATCAAATGAAATATTAAGGGTTGCATATCGGTAGTGTCACAAAAATAGGGGAAGCCTCATATGACGAAGTTTTTTTTGCCGATCACTTTCAACAGTAAAATCATATGAACTTTTTAATCTGAGACTTTTGAATGAAGCAAGCTGCGCTCATAAAGTCTATATCTATACGTACTCAAAAAGCTGTACTATAAACAAGTAGTAATACTTTTAAAATTATGAGGTTGCATATGCAAAACTTATTTTTCTCCACTGTTTTATAACAAAATAAAAAAAAAATAGCGCCATTTTCTTATAATTCAGGCGTTGTAGTGTGCATTTGATATAAGTTTTCATGAGCGTAGCTTTTCATTCAAAAGTGATCGGTAAAAACCTTTGTTACATGGATTTTCATTGTTTGCGACACACTGTTGTACCTCAGTTCGGGACCTGTCTCAATTCGGGACTGAGATGGTTCTAGACTGAGATGGTCCCGAACTGAGGTACAACATATCCAACCTCCCAAATATTATTTTCATTCAAACACCTCGACACGACTGAAAAAACGATGCTTGGAGGAATGCGATTAATGATCATTAACGTCGAATTTTTTTATTTAAATCTTTATTACTATTTCTATTCGTTTCAATGAGAACGAGTTTTCCCATCGCCTCGGAATCAAAGTTTTAATAACTATTATTTCTAGTACTTACTCGACTAGTATGTTTGAATTAATGATTCCAGTGAGTGATGAGTTAGTTATTGGGTATGACTACATGTACGGTACGATGAAATCTATGCGGTGTATGCGGTGCATACTATTACTCACTGTGAAATACGTTCCGCTTACCATCACTGAGGAAGTAACTTGAACACAGACTTGGCTATCGCCTTAGATCTCTGAATACGGATAAACTGTCCTAGGGCAACAATTCATGTCAACGGCAGAGAGTGTTGAGATTACCCCCGCTTATTCTACCGTTTAAGAGAGATTAATTGTTAACCAATTTAATATGCCAGGGATAATCATAACACTCTTGTGAGTATTTTCTCCAAGTTAACTTGGAATTCTACCGTCGAGAATAATATATGTTCGATACTACACAGAGAATCACTACTATATAGCGATCGATGCAAATAATTTAAATTCTCGCATTGTCCTATTATTTTCTACTAGGCCTTGACGATTTCACACAAAGCTCAATTGAAAATTATTAAGCATTAGCAAATGGTACCCGCAATTATGTTATGACTCTATCACTCTTCTGAAATATCAAGTTAAAGTTATTTATACTTTTTGTTTAATATTGAAATGAGAATTTAGTTCTCTTATTATACCCCAAAAACCAGTAAAATCTATAGTATGCAATAAAACAAACGTTTCTGCTTGCGTAACAACAGTTCCGATAATCAATACTAATTTCCAGCCCATTCGGGAACCAATTCGATTTTGCATTCGAAATGTGTAATTTTTTACGCTTTTTGTTTATCAAAATTTGGTAATGCATAGTTGCACAATATAAATATTGACTCGACTGGATACTTTCCCGAAGGTAAATCGTCTAGAGTTCAACTCATTCTATCCAAAACAGCGTCCAAATAACCGTCGAATTGTATCACTATATAAGTCTTTATTTCTAATTACTTTCATAAAACTGCCTTAATAAATCCTCTTTCTTGGCTGTGGGCTATAAGCACCCAGTCTTTTGCCACGGCAAATAATTCTGTTTAACGTTAAACGAGTATTTGATTCTCACAAAAAAGTAAAAAACGAACATTTGATGCATGCCAAGAATTCCTGATAATCTATCGTAGTGCATGGATAATGCCAGGTCGTGCAGTTTCTCCATAAATAGAAATATTATGGACTGTACGACGTGTCAGGTTGGCAGGTAAATTCCTGATAATAGTGCATGGTAGCCGACACAATTCATTACCCCACATATCATTTGATATCTTTGCTTCTCTGTGCCGAATTAAATATCTCGGCATTAATGTCCGAAACTACTGTTTGTCGATGCACAATTCAAATCGTCTATATCATGCATTGTACGACATAAATTAAAGACGCCGTATTGTAATAAAACTTGTTAGACTATAAACAAGTTATTGTCAAGCATCTACTTTGTATGTTCGTTCATAAATAACTACTACAGAACGCAGGTGTACATCAATTAGTATTGCGCGATCGATACAAATAAATTGTTATAATTTTGACAAGTTAACCATCGTTACAATAATCCATTTAAGTTTTACAGTTTATAATATTATTAAGTACCCCGTATTATTTAAATTAGTGACACAGGACCCTTTGTTTATATATGGTGTGGTGTTACACTGGCCAGAAAAGGTGACATAAAAGCGCAGGATGTAAATGTTTAAATAATGCGTCCGACACAATTATTTCGCATCAGGATATTGTGTCAAGTCCTGCGAGAACTTAATATGAAGAGTCTCGCCCTAAAACTCTTATTCATTGCCGTAATTTTTGCTTCTGCGACATCTGGGCTACAAAGTAGATCTTCCATCACGAATCCTCAGTTACAATGTAAATCTAGCATCATAAACTTTCCGGACGTTAACGGAAAATATACAGGATTTACTCTATTGGCAAACGCTAGTACCTGCAATGATCCAACATATGTTCCATGTCCAAATAACAATGGATGTTGCCCTACAGTTGCGACATGTTTACCTGACGGCTGCAACATTCCATGCACTACCAAAGATATACCTTGTGGTAATGGTTGCTGCCCCCCTGACAAAGTTTGCACACCTGACTTTTTTTGTGATGTTGGCAACAGCCCTCCTCCCCCTGCTCCTGGTGGCTGCAGTGATCCAACATATGTTCCATGCCCAAATAGCAATGGATGTTGCCCTACACTTGCGACATGTACTAACAGTCAAAGCTGCAACATTCCATGCACTTCCCAAGATATACCTTGTGGTAGTGGTTGTTGCTTCCCTGGCCAAGTTTGCACACCTGACTTTTTTTGTAATGCTGGTCCTGGCAACACCCCTCCTCCCGCCCCTCCGCCTCCATCAAATCCGCCTCCTCCATCAAATTCACCTCCTCCATCAAATCCTCCGCCTCCGCCAAATCCGCCTCCTCCATCAAATCCTTCACCTGCATCAAATCCGCCTCCAGATTCTCCTAGTGAAAGTAGTACTACTACTACTGCTACTCCTAGTCCTAGTAATACTCCTTTTCCTTTAACTGGTAGTGGTTTGTCTAAAACTCAAACTCGGTTGCAATTAGTCACCAAGTTTTTGACAATAACCATCACTATACTAATTTATCAGTTCGCTGACATGTAACATTGAATATCACTGCTAAAAGATTGTCACAATAACATCTTATACAACACATAGTCGACTTTGTATTAGTCATTGTGGGGAGGTTATTTGCTATCACAAGAATGTAATATAACTAAACATGAAATACCAATAAATATCATATAAGCAGAGCATAATTAATAATCGAGTAGGTGTCTAATCATTAATTTAATTTCATCAAGTTTAGCACGCTTGATCAATAAGATTTGTCAAAGTTCGATATAAGTTTAGAGCATCCTGACTTTAATCACGATTTTTTATTATAAACTAGTATCGGGCCACCTCGATTATCACGTGGCGCACCTTTTTTTTTTCGCCATCACTTGCCACTCGTTACGAATGTATGTGTTATTACATACGACCCATCACGTAAGAATATAGACGAAGCTTCACGGAAGAGGTTGCCGAAGATTTTATTAAATGAACCAGAATATAATATTTTGTAATTTACATTGAAATCTTTTAGGCTATATTTGTTGGATATTATCAGCACTAGAACAAAATGCCAGATCTGATGAAAGACCAAAAAGAGAACGAAGAATGTCCTCGTGTATTTTATTTGTTCGCAAATACCACTTTCTCTTTTTAAGAAACGGATTAAACTGCTCATTTTGATTTTACCAATTAGATAGGATAACATTTACTAATTTGGTTCTGAATCTAGAGCAGGTTATAAATCTTGTTTGAGAGTGTAAACATAATACATATTAATTCGTACATAACAATAGTTGTTTGATGTAATGTGGAACAATGTCAAATAAGTTATACAAGAAATGGTTAATACGATTGCAATAAATAAACTAATACTAAATCATTTAACTACAATTCGGGTTTGTGTAACCTTCGGCATACCGTTAACTTAACACGACTCCGTATCGTGACGATGTTGATTAACAATTTGTTATCACACAATATTGTAGTATAGTAACAACGTGATTTTTCACTGACATAGTAATAGGTACAACACTGCGTTACCATCATTTCCAAACGTGGCATTGACATTCTTTTAATTAGATGCTCTGCTAAGTTGTTTATATCTATTATTTGGAGTACCCAAAATGGCTGATGTGCGATTGGAACGCTATGAGATATGGGATATTGGAATATTGGAATATTGGAATATTGGGGATAGGGATATATCTGAGTGGGATACAACTGAAGGAAATTTATACTGAGATACTGTACAATAGGGGAAATCCGTCCAGCACCAAAGCCGGGTTATATCCGAGGGCGGGATACGATAGGGGATACAAATGAGGAACGACTGTAAATAGCACGATTACTGAAAATATCCGTTAATCACCAATAATTACTGTTTATGGTATCTCTCCTGTTGGGGGAAGTAATTACATAGTGAAACTCGGTAAATCGGACACGACTGGCTGGGTTTGGTTATCCGACTTATCGAAAGGATTTTAGATTTTGTCTGACTTATTGAGTTTCAAAGTGTCCGATTCACTATGTACCTCCCCCTACAGTGATTGCAACTTTGATTGTCAAATCTGATTGGGAGGCAAGGAAATAAATGTAATACTGTAAATAATTGTTCGCGCTTGAGCAATGCAGAGAATTATTTAAACTTATTACGGAGTATTGAACAAATTTACTGCGCTAAACTAACATTAATACATACAGTATTGTTCTTAAAGTATGGCTTGATTTAGAATGCGATCGCTAAAGTAAAAGTTCTCTTATTAGTGTTGTACCTCAGTTCGGGATCATCTCAGTCTAGAACTCAGTCATCTCGGTCCAGAACTCAGTTGTCTCAGTCCAGAACTGAGACAGGTCCCGAACTGAGGTACATTAGTACGCGTTTTTTATCTGTACGTGTTCAAAGTTTACACGCGACAGAATTGCACGTGCACTTGTGGCGCTCAAATCCCTTTATAAGGGCAAAGCAAATCGGTACATGCAAGCGTAGTATTATTAAGAATATACGATGTAGCAAAGCACAGTAGTCGTTATTATAAGGCATCGAGTCCGTACAAAAAAGGCCCTTATAAAGAGTACCCACATCTATGCCAAAACGAAGCTTTTTTTTGCTGAGCTTTTCACTTTCTATGATTCTGAAGTGTACCCTGGCTTTGATAGTAAGTCTTGAGAACATCAAACAGAGCGTAAAGTTTCTTTATTCTAACTTTTATCAACCGTTCCGTTTAGTGCTTGACTCCTATCCTGAAGTAGACGACTAACTGGTCGTATAGTACTTTTCCTGAAGATGCGCCGCTCGTTACTCTACCACCGTTTTCCGATGATTGGACAGTACATGGAGCCGGCGCTTTCTGGTATAATTTGCCTCACTCTCGGTCACCCACTCTCACTCGATCGTTCAATATAATTATAATAGCCAAAGAGGAATTTTGCAAAACGGTAATGCGCACCTATTAGGCTGGACAATATTCATGACCTTCTTGGGCCAATGCGGCTCGCACCATATGTATTGGATTATGTGTTTGGTGTAGAAAGTGACGAGGAGAAGATATTGGAGGGGCTGAAGGGGAAGGATGATATATTATTAAAAACACTGATATGCCAGGAATCTGTTGGTATATAGAGTAGAAATAGATTTGGGTGGGAATCAGCTGGGGGAGTTTGCAGACAGTGAACTCAGAGACTTTACAATTAATATTAAGTATGAACTGTATACTTGCTTGCCAATCACTACATACTACATGAGGTTTGTATGATTTCTCAAATCAATCTTTATTGGAAATCAATATCTATAATCTAATCCTTATTTTACTTAGCTGCTACAACCAAGGCTTGACTATGTGAAGAAGTGCTTGGATGCTTCTCAATTAAGTGGTGTCTACTAATTGCGGCGGCATATCACCTTTGTGAGGGGGGCTCAAAACTCAAAAATGATCTGTGTGCGGGCCAATCAAATGAAAAAACCGTCCGAGGCTTGCAAGAGAGAGAGAACCACAATTCAAAGAATGAACAAATTGATTTAGTTTATATGGAGAAAGAAATAAAGAGATTTTTATTATAAATATCGTGAGGGAACTTTTATTCACAACGAGGTGCTCGCTAAAGCCCAGTTTAAGCTGTTTTTATCTATCTACATACATGCAGAAGAAGAAAATAAAAGCCCATAAGACTGTTTTATTTGGGGAATGTGGGGAGATATCTATTCCTGGATATAAATAAAGTTTAAAATTTAATTCGAGACATTAAGTATCGTATATAATATCATTACATATGATGTCATTATTTAAACCCTAACACCCCCTATGATATCCAACCCCACATATATCAACGAAATTGGCCTGTCCCGTGGGTATTAGAGAGAGTCCACTGTCTTACTATTACCAAGAAATCATGGAGGAGATTGAGACTGAAGAAGAATGATCCCATATAGAAGTTCATAACTGGCTCCTGTGTTGTGGTTTTGATCAAGGAATTAGGGGAAAGGACAGCCTATGGATGAATTGTGATTCACATCCATATAGTCAATATTAACATGCTGTTACGGCAAGCCGATCCGATGGTAAAATCTTCAAGCAAGACTCCATGATCTAGTGCAAGTGTTGACCTTCGTAGAGCGACGGTATCGGTACGTAAATCACATGTCTGGTTTTACGATAATTCAAAGCGAAATCGACTGAGCGTAGTTTAATTGTCATAGACGCAAGCCAATGTAGTTTCGAGTCATCGTTTATATACGTAATTCGTCGACTTTAGGGGTAAAATCTTCAAGCAAGACTCCATGATCTAGTGCAAGTGTTGACCTTCGTAGAGCGACGGTATCGGTACGTAAAT